GTTTATTTTTTAGCAAGAAAACCCAAGTGAGTCGGGTACAATCATCAATAAATGTGATGAACCAATGAAATCCGTTCGAAGAATGCACTAAATCAAAAAGCTTTGTAGCTTTACTGTTGCTCAAAGGAAACACAGTGCGATGATTCTTGGCCAAAATACATGTCTTACACTTAAAACTGGACTCATCACAAGAGCAAAATAAAGATGGAAACAGATGCTTAAGGTAGCCAAATGACGGGTGTCCCAAGCGACGATGCCATAACCAAATTTGTTGTTTGTCTTTGACACTGCAACTTTGAACAGTATTAACGACACAATCACAAACTGGTGTAGAAGGTAATGTCAAATAATATAACCCCCATTATCTGTTTACAATGCCCAATCGTCTCGTGAGTCTTAAGATCCTGAAAAGAGCAATGTGTATGACAGAAAGTAGCAGAAGCATTAAGTGTATCAAGTAATCGACTAACAGATAACAAGTTACAATGGATATTAGGAACTAATAATGCATGAGAAGTCATGGATCTCATGAGAATGTACACCAATTTGCTCCATTGTCGTGGGGGACAATAAATGTCTCAATCCTATCTCAAGTTCTAGATCGTTATTTTAACATTGACATCTCAAGTAAACATAGTACATAAAATTCAAAGTTATCAAACACAAAATACACATAGTTTACAAAACAGAAACCTGCAATATCTCTTCAAGGTTGAAATGGATGCTTCATCGTCTAGCATCTTCCTTCAAGAACCTAATGCTTTTGGTTTGAACAATATGCAGTCTCAAGGCCATCAATTTAAAGTCCCATATCATTATCAAGAATGAACAACTCGCAAGCTGCCAACCCTCAAATTCAAATAATAAAATTAGTAAGAAAGTAGCAATGATATATCTGAGAGGGAGAGAGGGGAGAGGTGGGAGAGAAACCAATTCGAAAGAAACAAAAAAACAGAATTATAATTTCAAAAAATTACCAAATTCCTATATAAATCCAAAAAATTACAAAAAAAAAAAAAACAATTCAATACCCAAATCATTAAACCCTAAATTAAATAGGACATATAAATCATTTTGCCAAAAAGCCTAGACCATAATTCAAAGTTGAAATACTTTCTGTTATGATGCAAATCATCTAAATCGCACAGTTAGAAAGAGAGGGAGAAAACTAGAGTTCTTACCTGCCATAGAGAGGTTGAGAGAAAGCCATCCACAGAGATCCAGATGAGAGTGAGACAGAGAAATCATAACTGTGAAAACCTAAAAAAACAAAACAAAGAAACCAGCGATGAAGCAGTAGCAACAAGGAAGATACCCAAACCAAAAGCCCTAGAAAAGAGAAAGAAATGAAGAAAGAGAAGAAGGAGCATGACCTACCTGAGAGGAGAGGAGATGTGGTCGCCGGCATCGTCTCGTCGTCACAGAAGGAGGAGAGGAGCTGCTGTGGAAGGAATCGAACTCGAAGAGAAAGAAATGAGAAACCCAACCTTAGAAGTCGACTTGAAATGTCTTTGACTGAGAGAGCAAGTATTTTTGTCTTTTATTTTATTGTTTTACCTAGAGCAACCAATTTAACCGGTAACCGACAATCAATGCTTTGGATTACCCCACATGCCCCAACTACTCATCCAATGGTCTATAATAAGTGGCGCATCAGTGCGCTTGGCGCACTGTAGAATTTTCCCAAGTGAAGATTCATTCAATGAACATCCTTTATTTCATAGAAATTGGGGCAATATAATAAAGGCCAACCGATCCAGTCTTTTACTAGTTTAGTTAGTTTAGTGACTTCTGCCTGAGCTGAGGGCATCCGGTCTTTATCAACTTGCTGCACTATTTTATTAATTTCCACCTCAAGAGTTTGTTATTACTCTTGCATTTATCTAATAAATCTCCCCATAATTTTATTTTATTTTCTCATTTTTGTCTGCTGTTTTTTTTTTCCTCACAGAGATTGCATAATTGGTGAAAATTGCAATTTTGAGGTTATGTTCATGGAGGTTTGAAGTTTTGAGATTAGGTTCATGGAGGAAGCTCTAGACTTATTCCTTTTCTCATTAACATTTTGTTTAAAACTTGTTTCAATTGAGATTAATTTGAAACTCATATTGTCTAAGAGTTTTTTTGTTTGCCAATGTGTAATGCGTATGACTTATTTAAGATTTCAGCTTTATTTGTATTACATCTCTAATTTGAGGTGTTTTCATTTAATAATTTGTTAAAAAATATTATTTATTTTTTAAATGGGTGAAACGGGTGAAAAACGACCCATTAGCCATGACGAGTCGTGTCGTGTTATTCGCGAGTATGTGCAGGTCGTGTTTGGGTATAGTATTTCTGACCCTTTAGCTTAACGGGTCGTGTTCGTATCAACCCGATAAGAAAATGGGTTGACCCGAATACGACCTGTAACCCGCAAAAACGACCCATTTGCCAAGTCTAATTTATAGGTTAAGGGTGAAGAGTCTGATGTGTAAGGTAACCCCAATGGACAGTGGCGAAGCCAGGATTTCATGTGTGTGGGGGCCTCTTACAAATTATAAAGAATCAAAAGTTTGAACTCACAATACATACGGAAAATAGTATATATATCACATATGTCAAGAATTATATTGCTTATTGGTTGCAATTATAATTGTCCTCGACAAAGAGATAGACAGATACATTTTAAGCAAGAAAAATTGTAAGAGATAGACAAAGAGCAGCGATTTAGCAAATATCTTTAAAGCTTTTTTCCCCATTAAACCCAATAGAAAGAAAAAATCAAAATTTCACAAACTAAAAAAAACCTTAGGTCCCTTCATGCATTCATATCATATTATCATATATGAAAAAATGTTTTATGTAAAAATATTGACTAAGTATGAAAAATGGTTTTTCAAAATAATCATTTTCTCAAAATAATTTTTGGCGGCTTTTATTCCTTACACATCAAATAAGAAAACTTGATTTTATGGGATTTTAATATAAAGTATATATTGACTTAATGAACCATCATTTTTAGCCTAAATCGTATTTTGCACTAAAACCGATTTTTCATATTTTGATTTGGTGGGATTTTGATTTTCTAGTATTTTTATTTGAATCCAAATAGGGGGTACTTCCTTATTTACATTGTAAACTTAAGTAAATAGAGTAATATAAAAATAAATTAAAGTAAAAGGACAAAGACATTTACTTAAATGCTGAAAATGGAAATAAGATAATCTGTACACCTGGAGTGCGACCACATTGGTCCCAGTGTGGCTCCGCCCCTGCCAATGGATATAAAGTTCAGTGGTTGTTTCCCATGTGAATATTTTAGTCAAAGAAAGCCACCTCTACAAGTTGATTTTAAAAATTCCAAGTTATTACAACTAGCTGGAATTTTTTTCATAGAATGTTTGGTGTGCTGAGTCTGCTGACTAGGGATGGACCCACAGTGGGGTCACTGGGGTCAAACGACCCCATGGAAGCTATGGAAGTCCGCTTGAGCTAGCTGTGAGACCCCTTGGATTGCCCTCCAAGTGCTTGATGTTTTGCCTGACAGGAAGAGGGAGGAAGCCTCGTGCAGCAGGAAGAAGAAGCATTCTATGTCTTTTTAAACAACATGCGCCAAACGACGCCGTTTTGGCTTTGGGAAATTTTTAAAATAAAAATGCCTTCCACTGACCACCCGACCCAACCAACCTTCCCATCCCAAAAACCCTTCTCATCTTCCAATTGCTATTATTCTTTTCTTAGATCCAAGCCCCGAGCTCCCCAATCACCACCTATTATTCTTATTGTGATATTTCTCATTTCAAGTTATTTCTAAATCTTAAAATCAAAATAAGGATGATGTGTGCTGTTTTTAATTTAATGGAAATCAAATCTGTAATTGCTTGGATGAAATTTATGATTTATATGTATGATGAAGTTTTTGCTTATTTGTTGATTAGGTGGTTGTAGTTTTTTTGTTTTTTGGTTAATTGGCATAGGTTTGCTTTGAAATTTTACGAATGGAAATCACTCAAAAACGTATATAAAAAAATGACAAATTGAAATCATTCGAAGTATATTTTCCAAGAAAGAAATAAAATTTGGAAGAGAAAAAATAGATAAGAAAAATAACCCATTCTTAAATTTTCTTTGGAACATTTACACTATGACCCTACGGGATTCGAATCATGGGTCTGACTCAATAATATTCTCATTCAATCAACTGAAAAATCTAACGTCCTTTTCACATTCTTTTCTTATGGCCAACCCTGATGCCTACAACTAAAACAATCTATGAGATACTGCATGTAATTAATGATGATACGCAAGGCAGAGTTGAAGCAGATATCTATGTGATTAGTCAACAAAAAGAGATAAAGGATGTAACTAATCCTTCTTAAGTCGTTTTAGTTATGAGTTGCTTGCAATGCTTCTTTGAATTTGATCATCAAAACAGTCCATGTGCATTCAGAGTAGACTCTGCTTGTTAGACAGACAAGTTAAGTTTAGAACATCCTGTTAGAAATCAAGATATTATTGAGTTTTCTTGGTCAGTTATTATATTATTGAGTTAGCACACCATCATACTGTTGGAATAGTTGAATTTTTCAAATCTACATCTACTGGAAGCTTTATTTCCTTGACTAAAATATTGCTGTATTTCATTGAAAATCATATTTTCCTTTTCACATGGACAAGAACCATCGGAAAATTATAAACTTGTCTAAATTCCTTTATTAATGAAAGCCGTTTTACACATCTGGCCTTTCCCCATTAACCTATAAATACCACCTCTGGTGCTCACACTTCCTCACACCAATATCAATCATTCTCTTAGCTTCCTCTACATTCATTCCTTCTTTGATCATATTTTCTAAGCTCTCAAATCATCATCTTCATCATGGGTGTCTTCACATACGCAGACGAGTCCACCTCAGTCATCCCCCCACCAAGATTGTTCAAAGCCCTTGTTCTTGAAGCCGACACCCTCATCCCCAAGATTGCTCCACAAGCAGTTAAAAGTGCTGAAATTGTTGAAGGAGATGGAGGTGTTGGAACCATCAAGAAGATTAGCTTTGGTGAAGGTTGGTTTCTGCCATTGCCTCTTTTAAGTTTAACTTGTTTGCCTAATTAATAACATAAATCTTGAAAGCATTAATCTCTTAATGTCTAATTATAATCCTCATTTTACAGGAAGTCATTACAGCTATGTGAAGCACCGGATCGACGGGCTTGACAAAGATAACTTTGTGTACAGCTACAGTTTGGTTGAAGGAGATGCACTTTCAGACAAGGTTGAGAAAATCAGTTATGAGATTAAGTTGGTGGCATCTGCTGATGGAGGTTCCATCATAAAGAGCACCAGCAACTACCACACCAAAGGTGATGTTGAGATCAAGGAAGAGGATGTTAAGGCTGGGAAAGAGAAGGCAACTGGTCTGTTCAAGCTTATTGAGAACTACCTTGTGGCCAACCCAGATGCCTACAACTAAAACCTTAAATGAAATATACTGCATGCTATAGGGCAACAACTTGTGTCCTGCTTTCTCTGTTTATTGAGCAGTGTGTGTGGCCTTTCATTTATTTTTATTTTTATCATACCAAAGTAGGTCTTTGATTCTCACTTTGGAGTCATGATTAAAGAGTATGTTGTATTCGATTTCAATTTCAATAAATAAAACATAAATTTATATAAATCATTTCATGGTAGTCTTTGCAAATTTGGTCTGCAGTATCTTTTTTCTTCAATTCCGTGAATTTCAGTCTTCTCAGTTTTGTTGTTTTGACAACCGTATTCTAAACTAGCCTAATTTGTGAAGAGAGAAAACGAACTCGGATGCAAAGGAATAGACACATCGCGTTGACCAACCGGTCTAACCCACGTTGGACTATGGTCTCAACTTAACAGTTTTGAAATAGACATGACTTACTAAAAAGAAATATAAAGTGTGTAAACTTTGACTTCAACTTGATTAGAGCAGCAAGTTTGGTAAAATAAATGACTTGAAAAGAGAAGCCATGGAAAGTTTAAATTGGATGACATGTTACAGTTGGATCCTTAAGTGAGGTAAAAAATTATAATTAATGGACATTTCGAAGCAGAAGATACAGAACAGAAGGCAGAGTTGAAGCAAGGCAGCCTCTATCCCACTGTGTTAATCATCGAAAATATGATTTGTAACTTTGAAGCATCTAATGATGCAAACAGTCCCACCAACTTACAGGCTTGTCTTTTATGCCCAAAATAATCCTGAGCATCTTTTTCCCTTTTCCTTCTCCTTTTATCCTAAATTGTGAATAATACTAAGTATTTATTTTGAAATTAGAACTCTGAATTTATTTCTTGCACATGTATTTTGGAACTTTCCATTAGATTTTCGACATTCCATGTGCATTCAAGATTATCGCTTGGCATTTAGAACACCAGTTGGAGGTAAATTATTATTAAGTTAGCAGACCAGTTGGAATAAGTTGAATTTTTCAAATCAACTTCTACTGGGGTTCTATTTCCTGAGTCCAATTTTCCTACTACCAAATCCCTTGTGCCCCTTGTTTCCTCTTTAGTTTTGTGACACATGACACACCACTTAACAACATTTTAACTATGTTAACTCTCTTCAGCCCATTTCGGCTCGTCACAAACATAGCAGGCTCATCTTCATCAACATCGAAAATTGAGATGTTCGAGTATGGAAACGTACAGCGCTGTGCCCATATGATTGCTTCCCTTCTGAATAGTGCAATTCTGCATTGCAAGAGAATGGAAACAGAGTCGTTGAAATAGGTGTGGCAATCTTTGAGGGCTAGGTCCCCTCTGCATAGTCCCATCCACAAGCAGTTATAAGTGCTGAAATTGTTGAAGGAGATGGAGGAGTTGGAACCATCAAGAAGACTGACTTTGGGGAAGGTCTGTTTACTTTCCACCTATAGGCTATACTGTCTGTCTTTCAGACAAAATAGAGAAAATCTCTTACGAGATTAAGTTGGTGGCATCTGCGGTGCAGATGGAGGTTCCATCATAAAGAACACCAGCAGCTACCACACCAAAGGTGATGTTGAGATCAAGGAAGAGCATGTTAAGGCCGGGAAAGAGAAGGCCCATGCTTTGTACAAGATTATTGAGACCTATCTTGTGGCCAACCCTGATGCCTACAACTAAAATATATTATATATACTGCATGCTAGAGAGGCAACAACATGTGCCCTGCTTTCTCTGTTTATTGAGCGGTGTGGCTTTCAGTTTTTTCTTTTGTATCATACCAAAATAGGTCTTTGGCTTGCACTTTGGAGTCATGATTAAAGAGTAATGTTGTATTCGATTTCAATATCAATAAATAAAACATAAATTTTATATTTATCATTTCATGGTAGTCTTTCTAGATCTAAATTTAGTCTGCAGTAATTTTTTTTCTCCAATTTCATGAATTTCAATCTTTTCTTTACCTAGTACAAAGTAAAGATTCGATAAAATTGGAATGATAAGAATGACATGCATAACTTGAGAAATGGTCCTTTGGTTTGCTCATGTTCTTGAGAAGTACCATTTGAGGCAACCCTGATGCCTACATGTAAAACTATCTGTCACTGCTTGCAAAGAGCAGCAATAGAGAAAAGCTATAATTATATTCATAAATTAGGCACAAAGACTATTAGTCACAAGAGCTAATAAAAATATCTACAAAAGATTAATATAAAGATGGAAACATAGTAACCGCAGAAGCACATATCCATGAATAAAAAATGATTAGGACTAACTTTTAGGCCAATTTTTCCAATCGGAAATTATTTTAGTGAAAATTCGACAAAATCTATTTTTTATTTATGATATTTTGACTAGGGCTAACTGTCAAACTGCTTGCAAGTTACAACCATTTTAATAGATTCCAACCCACAGACAACAACCGACATACACACACATCGCTAGTCATCAATGAAAGAAAATGGGATGTAGGCAATCATTGGAGGATATGAGTACCCAAATGAAAGCTACTCAAACACTGATACTCTTTTTTTTTAGAGTACAAGTGATAGTCTAAATTAAAGGGGAGGGGGTTTCTCACATGTACACACATAACTTAGATGTCATGATGGTTCAAACTTGAGACTTCTAATTTGCAAATCAAGGCCCTTATCCATTAGACTAGACCCCGTTGACAAACATTGATACTCTTGGAATCTGAATAAAAGGGTTGAAGCTCTAAATGAAAACCCTAATCCCCAAGACCCAATATAATCCACTAGAGGCTACAAAGAGCCTAGATCAAAATGACCCGGATTAAAAAATAGAGCCCACTTGTGCCTCCATATAAAGGATATATGGATAATGCAAATTAGGGTTATTTACTCAAATGGTCTTCAAACTTATACTCGAGTTGCATTTTGGTCCCTCAACTAAATTATTCATTTAAATGGTCCACCAACTCTTTATTAATCGGAGCTTTGGTCTTACCATTACATTTGGTCACTATTGCCGTCAAATATAGGGGTTAGGTTGATGAAATGGGGTTGGGGTTGGGTGGGCTGGTTTATTTTTATTTTTATTTTTTTGTGGGTTACTTTTTGTTGTTTTTATATATATTTTTATATATTTTTTATTAATTTTAAAAATAAAGAAAATTTTGTATTAATTTTTTTTATTTTTTTAGTTGTCAAAAGTCTTATTTACCCCCACAAATGTAACATGTGCTACTCACATGATGAAATTTAAAAGAAAATGTAACGGTAGGACCAATGCGCCGATTAATAAAGAGTTGGTGGACCATTTGAACAAATAATTTAGTTGAGAGACCAAAATGCAACTAGGGTATAAGTTTGAGGACCATTTGAGTAAATAACCCTGCAAATTATGGACACCAAAATTCAATAAAATAATAAACAAAAGGCTAGTTGGAGTACATGGGCTACCTTTTTTTTTTTCTTTTTCTTTTAAGGGTCTGAAATCCATTGGGTTATTTAGGTATTAAAAAAGTTCAAAATTTGGGTTTGGCTATAGCCCTAATTATCTAGTATAATGCCTAGCGTAGGGTTAATCTAGATACGTAGAAACACATTGACAACAACAAGTGTACAAAGTGTATCTCCACTAATAGCCTTATAAGGCCAAAGAAATTTCGGCATAAAAGAGGCAAGTTTGAACATGCCAGACATGAACCGCAATGCCTAAAACTATCAATACAACTACAACTTTAAAACTCTCACAAGTAGAAACTACAAGTACAGACTAGAGTCACTAGACTACAAACAAACACCCAACTCACAAAGAGTTCATGTAAACAACCCAAGAGACAAGGAAGGAACGGGATGGAGTGGAGGGGAGAAAGAGGAGGGGTGGAGGGGAGGGGAAGGGTTAGGGTGGAGAAGGAGAGGAGGGGGGAGGGGAGAGGGGAGAGGGGGAGGAGAGGGTGGGGAAGGATGAGGTTAAGCTATCAAGCCAAAGCTGTCTTTGTGTTAAGCTATGATGAGTGTGTATTTATTTGAATTCAATCTTTATAACTAAAAGAAAAACATTTGACAATATTGGCATATCTTTATAACTCTACCTAAGTCCTCTATTAATGTCACACGTGTAATGCTCTGTAAAATGACAACGTGGCCAACTTTGATCACAGTGACTTTTGAGCGACTGTGTGAACAGCAGCGAGCATCCCTACTCCTTATCCAATACACGACCCCTTCACTCTCTCCTCCCCTCCCCTACTCTTTTCTCTATCCTCCACCCAAACACTCTTCTATGGCCTCTACTTCACCCTTCGCCCCCGCATTGCCCCCAAATTACCATCTTACTACTCATCCTACACCTGCTGCATCCCGCCCTCTACTAAGCCCCCAGAAACAGATACTGCCGCATAATTCTTACCACGGTGTTAATGCACGAAATTACCACTCTGTGCCTCGTCGGAGAATGACGACGAGGTGCCAAGCGATGGAGGTGTCGGTGGCAGACGGGTCGTCGTCGGCGTCTGGAGGCGGCGGTGGGGAGAACTGGGTGCCGGTAGTGCCGCTGGCTGCGCTGCCAAGGGGGGAGCGGCGCGTCATAATTCAAGATGGGGAAGCCATACTCTTGCTGTGGTATAAAGATCAGGTCTTTGCTATTGAGAATCGCTCCCCTGCTGAAGGGGCTTATAGCGAAGGCCTTCTCAACGCCAAGCTCACCCAGGCAAGCCAATTAATTAATTACTTTTAATTCAGTTAATTAATTTGTTCCTAATCCTAATTGTTTGTTAACTTATTGATACTGGTTGCATTGCAGGATGGGTGTATAGTTTGCCCATCAACTGATAGCACATTTGATCTGCGCAACGGATCCATTAAGGAGTGGTATCCCAAAAACCCAGTGCTCCGAGTCCTTACACCCGCTTTGAGGACGCTTTACGTCTACCCTGTCAAAACTGATGATCAAAACATTTACATTAGCCTCGGTACTGCTTCACTCGAATCTGATGCAGCTGCCGAAATTGTCTTCAGTGGCAAGGCTCAACCGGGTTTTACAGCTACTGATGTCAATGTGGATGAGGTATTTGTCTTTTTCTTTTCTTGTTCTTTAAGAAACTAGACATTGAAAAAATGTACGTGGCTTGGCTTGGTGCATGTGTCAAACTGTGATTTGCTGACGATGATTTGTTCGATTTGTGGTGACGTGCTAAATTGTTAATTCAGGTGAAAATGGTGGTTGATGAGGGTCTAGATGTGGCGTTTGGTTTCACGGCGAGGAACGAAATCATAAATGGGAAGGCAGCTGTGATTGGGTTCCTATTGTTGTTAGATTTTGAACTCTTGACTGGTAAAGGTCTTCTCAAGGGAACTGGCTTCTTGGACTTTATTTACTCTGTATCAAATGCTTTGCAGTAAACATTTCCAATGTTTCTCCGAAATGAACCAAAAGTTATATGCAATACTCAACCCAAGCAAGCAAAAGTGGGTGTTTTTATGAGTCATAATATATAATTAATTTGATGTTAAAGCTCCTTTCATTTGTAATTTTGGATATCTATATAAGCGTATGTGTTTGTAAATCTTCTGAGAAGTAGACCATTTTAGATCATTCTTTAGGTTTTGCACTTTCTCTGTCTAAATCACCTGTAATATATAATAGAATTTACATGCAAAGCATATCCTTTGAAATTGAATCATGAAAGACATATGTGCTACATGTTTATACATCTTCTGTGCTCCGTAGATGTATTCTGTAACCTCTGTTTATTGTAAAGTTCGAATGCTTTCTTTAGTCTTGCAACCTAACTCTCCTGTATTTGTGCAACAAAACTTGGCATTGATTTTGTTTTTCTTTCAAGTTTTATCTATTTACTTACAATTTATTTATTTCAAGGGATTATAAAGTATTTCCAAATGAACTTTGTATCGATGAACTCAAGTTTAGCTCAAGTGGCTAAGAAGTAGGAAGTTTATGTACCTAGTCATGAATTTTTCTTTTATAATATTTTTGAATTTGAATTTGAAATATAAAATTTAATTTCAGTTCAAGCACTAGGTTTACTCTCAAATTATTCCTCCTTGTACTTATCAATTGTTGGTATTTTGTTAGTTCTTCTTGCCCTTCTCTGTTACCTACCCTACTTAGATATACAATTAATAGTTCGTTTGTCTGGCTTTTATGTATTGGTAGATGGGGAAACAATTGTATTTTTCCAGATCTAGTCCAAACTTTATTTTGGAATGGATCTTGGTTTTTGCTTTAACCAGTCCTAAATTGGCTCTGGTTATTAATGGATGGTTGTGGTTTTTGGGCTTACTAGTCTTTTGTGTAATCTGTTTTATCTGAGGCATACGTGCTTTTGTGTTAGTCTTTCTCTTCATGATTTCGAGCAAAGGGCCTGTATTCTAGAGATGGTTTCTTGCATGCTCCTCACTGATTAATCTTTCTTTTGGATGGAATTTCTGGCTGCTTTCCTTTGTTCTGACATCTGACACCTTTTATTTCTTGGATTTGGTCTGTTGATCGATTTATACTTTCTTTTGTGTCTACTTGCAATGGTAAAATCAGGTATGTTCCTCTGTCATTGTTTTCCTATCTCATTCGTTTTTTTTTATATAAATATATTCTCAATGTTGGACCACCGTGTTGTTACCATAAATATAAATCCTTGTGCTTTGTTCTTCTTATTTGGTTATGTACCACTTTGGTATATTTTGATACTTGATGGGTTTTTTACTGTCAAACTAATCTGCTCACTAGTTCTTAAGGGTAACAAAACTACTTTTATCTTTTCACTTTCTTTTGTTAGGCGTAGAACTCTTTTGCTTTTCATTTATCTATCTTATCTAAATAGGTTCATATATTATATCTGTCTCTATGTCTGCGTTGTTTGCTGTTAAGTTCCATCTTCCTATCACTGTTGAACACTACTTGAATGCTCTTTTTATGGTTTTTGTTGATTATCCACCTATGTCTAATCTTGATACTGCCGGTGCAGTAATGGTACCATCTCTCTACTTGTGGAATTGTAGAGGCTGATATTTTTGATTTTGTAGAAACTCGTTCTGTTTCCTCTACTTCAGAAAGAAAGCTTATACAGTTAGGTTATAATCCAGTCATTCAGGCTCCTAGTGAAATGAGCGAAACGAGTTTCCATTTGGGCTTCCGTGGTGTGTTTAAGCTATGATGTTACTTTATGAGAGATGTGATCAGTAAATATGATATGTGTAATGTTACTTTTACCTGTATACTTGAGGTCTCTCTAATCACACACAGGCTACCCTGCTTCAAAATCAGCCCATCAATCATAAATCTTCTACCTCATCAAATATCCAATTGCTGGGATTATACATTATTGTATTGTAAAGACTAGTAATTGATTTTTGCTTCATTTATTGAGAATCAAATCAAATACAAACATTACAAATTATCATAGCCTCAGGTGCAAGCCAAAGCAGCTCTGGCTTGATACACCAGAAAAACAAAAGGAAAATGAAAGCCACACCAATGACAGAGAGAGCACATGCAGTATATGTTCATTTAAGGTTTTAGTTGTAGGCATCTGGGTTGGCCACAAGGTAGTTCTCAATAAGCTTGAACAGACCAGTTGCCTTCTCTTTCCCAGCCTTAACATCCTCTTCCTTGATCTCAACATCACCTTTGGTGTGGTAGTTGCTGGTGCTCTTTATGACGGAACCTCCATCAGCAGATGCCACCAACTTAATCTCATAAGTGATTTTCTCAATCTTGTCTGAAAGAGCATCTCCTTCAACCAAAGTGTAGTTGTACACGAAGTTATCTTTGTCAAGCCCGTCGATCCGGTGCTTCACATAGCTGTAATGACTTCCTGTAAAATGAAGATTTAATTAGAAATTAAGAGATTAATGCTTTCAAGATTTATGTTATTAATTAAGCAAACAAGTTAGACTCAGAAGGGGCAATGGCAGAAACCAACCTTCACCAAAGCTAATCTTCTTGATGGTTCCAACACCTCCATCTCCTTCAACAATTTCAGCACTTTTAACTGATTGGGGAGCAATCTTGGGGATGAGGGTGTCAGCTTCAAGAACAAGGGCTTTGAACAATCTTGGTGGGGGGATGACTGAGGTGGACTCGTCTGAGTATGTGAAGACACCCATGGTGATGATTTTAGAGCTTAGAAAATGATCAAAGAAAGATTGAGATGTGGAGGAAGCTAAGAGAATGTTTGATATTGGTGTGAGGAAGTGTGAGCACCAGAGGTGGTATTTATAAGTTAGGGGGGGTATATGTGTAAAGTAGCTCCCATATATAGACAATTTCTTTTTAAAAAACATTTAGCGGTGGTTGTACATGTGAAAAGGAAAAATATAATTCCCAATTCAATGTTTCAATATTTTTTAGTCAAAGAAATTACGCCACCACTAAAAGTTTATTTGGAAAATTCAACTTATTCCAACTGGTGTGCTAACTTAATAATATTCTAATTGACCAATAGGATGTTCCAAAATTAACATGTCTATCTACATGCATAGTCGACTCCGAATGCCAACTATTATATAGAATGCACATGTGGTATGTTCCTGTCATCAGAGTGTTGCAAATTTTTGTTAATACAGACAATATTTAGGGGAAGGGGGAATCGAACGTAAGACCTCAAATGCAAATGTAAATACTCTTAATCACTTTAGCTATAAAATACCCTTGCATGATATTGCAATTCATTGTTGAAAACCAACACCAGTTATGTTCCAAATACATATGCTCGGAATAAAGCCAGAGTTCTGAATGCTCAATGTCCGGACAAAAAGAGAAGGAGAAAGGAAATAGATGCTCAGCATTATTTTTGACATAAAAGACAACCTTCAAAGTTGGCGGGACTCATAATTTGGATAATTAACAGAGTGGGGAAAAAAGACAAAACAAAAATAGCAGGATCAGTACTGTTTTCGGTGCCATTTGATATAGAATATCATCATATAAAAAAAAAACCTTAATTTGCCTCACTTTGTTACAAGAATAAAACCATATTTGTAATGTATTAATTTGCCCCACATAATCACATTAATGGTTATGTTAAGGTGGATAAATTAAGCATCTCCAATAGTCTCTCAAACGAAACTCTTCAAAATGCGGTTTATTGACCTACGTGCCAATTTGAAGGGTAAAATTTGCTACAGCCTCTTCAATTTAATTAATTCAATTTGAAGGTTTTTTTTATGTGACTCACCTATTTTAGTGTCCCAAAGCCTTTGAAGAAGCTGTTGAAGATTTTTTTTCTCCAATAGTAGTAGCAAACTAAAATCTTCAAATTAAAGTTTGTTGACCTATGTGGTAATTTGAAAAAGTTTATTTGCTACTTCATAATTTATGCCATATCAGACTCTTCAAATTCAATTAATGCAATGTTATGGAAAAATATGAAAAATATGTGAAGAATGTCTATGTATTCTATTTGTGGTTTTATTGTGGGCTTAAGCTTGACACAATAGTGTGGCAAACCACACAAAAGTATTATATATATCTTTTACAAATATAGAAATTATAAAACCCATATGTTTAATTATGTTTGTTTTTGTCAAAGTTGGGAAGGGGGAGGGGGAGGGGGAGGGGTGATTTCTCATACACACACTATCAAGGTGCCATAAAGATTCGAATATGAGACCACTAATCTGCAAATTAAGGTCTTTTTTCAATGGGCTAAACCAGATTGGCATGTATAATTATATTTTCATTCTATAAGAGATGTGATAAGCAAATATGATACTTGTAATTTAGCCTGGTGTATGCGTCTTGTAGACTTGAGTCTTCTCTAATCACACAGAGGATGCCCTGCTTCAACATCAGCCATCTGCACCATCTTCTGCTTCAAATGTCCATTAATCATAAATCTTCTACCTCATCAAAGACGGGCTCCCTATCACTTTCACAAATCATGTCATCCAATTTAGACTTTCAATCGCTTCTCTTCTCAAGTCATCTCTTCTACCAAATTTGCTGTTCTAATCAAATTGAAGTCAAGTCCACACACCATATTTCTTTTGGTAAGTCAAGTCCACACACCACGAGGTTTGTTATTCTTTGAAACTCACTATTCTGCCCATTTGTTATCAATCAAATCTTCTGACTTTTTTTTTTGGACGAAATCAAATCTTCTGACTTTGCAAAGTCATTTGTGGCCAACATTTAATTAAACAGAAATGGAATTTCTCTTATTTTGAGTGCTATAATGTATTTTCTGTATTCTTTTATCTTGTTCCCCAAAGGTATTTAACAAGGAACAAAATAAATATTCAAGCAGATATGCTCTTCTGCTTTTATTGTATATCCTTGTCTAACTGCAGACCAAATTTGTAAAGACCAGCAATTGATTTTTGCTTCATTTATTGAGAATCAAATCAAATACACACATTACAATTTATGATAGACTTAGGTGCAAGCCAAAGCAGCTCTGGGATGATACACAAGAAAAAGAAAAGGAAAAATGAAAGCCACACCAATCTAATGACAGAGAAAGCACATCATGCAGTATATATTCATTTAAGGTTTTAGTTGTAGGCATCTGGGTTGGCCACAAGGTAGTTCTCAATAAGCTTGAACAGACCAGTTGCCTTCTCTTTGCCAGCCTTAACATCCTCTTCCTTGATCTCAACATCACCTTTGGTGTGGTAGTTGCTGGTGCTCTTTATGATGGAACCTCCATCAGATGCCACCAACTTAATCTCATACTGATTTTCTCAACCTTGTCTGAAAGGGCATCTCCTTCAACCAAACTGTAGCTGTACACAAAGTTATCTTTGTCAAGCCCGTCGATCCGGTGCTTCACGTAGCTGTAATGACTTCCTGTAAAATGAGGATTATAATTAGAAATTAAGAGATTAATGCTTTCAAGATTTATGTTATTAATTAGGCAAACAAGTTAAACTTAAAAGAGGCAATGGCAGAAACCAACCTTCACCAAAGCTAATCTTCTTGATGGTTCCAACACCTCCATCTCCTTCAACAATTTCAGCACTTTTAACTGCTTGTGGAGCAATCTTGGGGATGAGGGTGTCAGCTTCAAGAACAAGGGCTTTGAACAATCTTGGTGGGGGGATGACTGAGGTGGACTCGTCTGAGTATGTGAAGACACCCATGGTGATGATTTTAGAGCTTAGAAAATGATCAAAGAAGATGAAAGTGTGAAAGGATTAGATGATTGGCAGGGATGATATTTGATGCTGGAAAATGTGAGCACAGGAGGTGCTATTTATAGATGGAAGCCTATGGTCATGGTGTTAGAAATTTCCCCGGTAGATTAAAGTTTTCAATGAATGTCCCTATTGGAAAAGGAGGCTAGAATTTTCAATTTCAGTGACTTTCTGTTCAACTCTAAGAAGCCGCCTCAAATAGCTAATTTTAAAAAACCCAATTAGTCCAGCCAACCAGAGTTGCTAACTTATAACTAAGTACTTGGAGTACTTGATGGCATTATACATAACAGAATTATTTACTAATAAGGTCAATTTGTACATCTTATAGACTGATAAAGTCTTAGTTTGTAGGATGAATGAAGATGAACATCTGATCTGATAGGCTTAAACATATGTAGTTACAGTGGTTTTCATATACTTTTCCACTCACTCATGCAGCCAAAGTACAAGACTAATCAATTGCTAAGAGCACTTTCACCCATCACCTTTTGCCATGGCAACAGGGGGCCTAGGCTCCAAAACAACTTCCACCCATTACCTTTTGCCGTGGAAAAAAGTGGGCCCATGAAACTAGGCAAGCCCAAAGCCATGACTTGCCTGGGTTGCTGACGTCAGTGACCAATTTAAATACCAAAAGAATCGGAGAAAAAAAAAGGGAAAAAATTAAGATTTTTTTTTCTTCTATAAATACCTAGCCATGTTCTTCACTTCCTATATCAAAATCCATACAAATTCTTCTCCTCATGTCTCATGTGAATAGTGGTTACTCTTGGGTTGCCATGGCAATGGGTAGGAGGGAATGCATAAAAAAAATTGCTAGAGCAGTCACTATTAATGTGAATCGTATCTGCCCTTACTTACCATTATCCTTTGTCATGGCACAATAGGTTAGGTTGAATTGCTCTAAGCATGCATTTAGTCTGGCATATATTCAATATGTCATGGAAGACATTTGCAACATCAGAAAATGTTCCTTAGTCTGGTTGTGAAGTAGATTTTTGCAGTGAATCCAGGC